TCCTCCCGCAGTGAAGCCCACGTTCCTCGGGACCCGGGTCTTCGAGGACTACGACCTGCACAAGCTGGTGGACTACATCGACTGGAAGCCCTTCTTTGACGTCTGGCAGCTCCGGGGCAAGTACCCCAACCGAGGCTTCCCCAAGATATTCAACGACAAGACCGTGGGTGAGTGCAGGGCCGAGCTGGCGTCAGGCATGTCTCCACTCAGCCGGTGAGGTGGCATGCATGCTTCCGCCCTGCTGGGTGGGCCTCGTCTGTCACCAACGTCGGCCTGCCGGTGATGGTTTGATGAATGGTTATTGACCCCAGTTCATACTGGGCTCTCCTAGGTACCAGGGACAAACCAGTGGGGACAGCCCAGTCTGGCCACCCAGTCCTTAGCGAGCTGCATAGCTGACCCAGCAGCCACACACTGTCCCCACAGGCCCAGTCCTTACTCCTGCGGACACAGCCTGGGAGGTCAGGGCAGGCTTCCTGGGGGAGGAGGTGTTTCAGCTGCTTTTTTAAAAGTTTGTTTCCGGGGTCAAGAGGTAGTAGTGTGCTTAAGGTGCTAACCTCCTGCATGACTGACTGTGGTTCAAGTCCCGGACCCCATGACTTGAAACTCACGCTGGGCATGTGTGCGTGTCCACCCTACCTCCCAGAGGAGAGTGTCCATGAGTGACAGCGAGGGACAGACGAGCACTCCGTAGGGTCTCAGCCGCGGTCTGTACTCCAGCCTCCCCGCCAGGGGCACCGTGGGCACACGTGCCAGTGTCTCCAAGGCCCCACAGTGCAGGGCAGTGTGTTTCTGCTGAGTCACCCCGAGGGCCCATCTGCCCTCAGAGGTTAGAGGGGGCCTCTGAGGCTGGTACTGGGGGTCGGAGGGGGCTTTGAAGAAAAGGGCATTCCAGGCGGGAAATAGTGAGGGTAGACACGCTCCTTAGGGATGCACCAGCCCTTCGTGCCTGAGCATTGCGGGGGAAGGAGTGGGGGTGACGCGATGGAAGTGCAAAGGCCGATAAATGCCACCCCACATCTCACTTCTAGCCTCACCCCAGAACCTGTCCCAGACTCGGAATTGAAAGTGAAGCCATTCAGAGGGTCAGATAACGGCCAGCCAGAGCAGGGCAGGACGAGGGTGGGGCTAGGGTGGAGAGACCAGCCTCCTGCCCGCTTCGTGGAGGGTGCCGGGCCTGGGCAGCTCCCGGAGCCAGGAGTGCGGTGCTGAGTGGGGCCTCTTAGGTGAGCGGCCGTGGCTGGGTGAGCAGGCTGGCCAAGGGCAGCGCTGAGGGCACCTCCAAGGACTCAGGGCCCCTCCGTGCTCACCCGTCACACCCAGGGGCCACCGCAGTTGGTGTTGCACGTTCACAAGTGTCGGAGCGAGGGCTCGCCTGCGTGTGCCCTGCCTCTGCTCTGGGCGCTGCAGCTTCAGCCTCTGTCTTGGGCCAGGTGGAAGGGCACTGGCTCACTCAGGGGTACTGAGGGGGGGTCCAGCGTGGCACTCACCTGCCACCCTGCGCCATGTGTGGGAGCATGGCGATGCTGTTTGGGCCGAGTGGAGGGAATGTGACTGAGGAGCCTGGTCACCATGCGTGGGAGCCCGAGGTGGTGTTTGGGCGGAGGGGAGGGAACATGGCTGAGGAGCGCCCCCTGCTGGTGGTGGTTGGCACCTCGAGGTGAATCCCAGCTGTGCTTCTCTGCCAGGCGAGGAGGCCAGGAAAGTCTACGAGGAAGCCCAGAGCATGCTGAGCACGCTGATTGGCCAGAAGAAGCTCCGGGCCAGGGGCTTGGTTGGGTTCTGGCCAGCACAGAGTGTCCAAGACGACATTCACCTCTACGCCAAGGACGCCGTGCCCCCGGCCACAGGGCCTTTAGCCACCTTTTACGGGCTACGGCAGCAGGTACGGACGGGTTTGGGCAGCGAGCACCTCCTGGGATCCAAGGCCCTAACCGGGGTGGCAGTGACGGCTGAGTAAGCCGAGCTTCGTGTCAGCGACACAGTCCACTCCAGGCCCCAGTGACCATCAGGTGAGCCCGTGGGGCCGTGTGCACTGACAGCAGGAGGGCGCACAGTCACTGCCGCCCTGGGGGCCGTGCCTGCTGTAGGTCCTCCTCTCTGGACACGACCCGGTCTGAGTCTGTTACCGCAGTGGACTCAGCGGGCCTGGGAGCCCGTCCATACAGCCCTGCCACGTCCAGGTGAGGACTGATGGCCACAGCACGCCAGCAGGCACCCCCGATGGCTGTCCGCCACACACACACACGATGGCTGTCCGTCACTGCAGCGGCCCCGAGGGAGCGCTGAGCACCGGCTCGCCTCACGTCTTCCCTCGTGGCCCTCTCTCCGTGTGCCTGTCCCTTAGCCATAGCACAGGACCCAGATCGAGAGCAGACGCTGGGATTCACCAGTCATTAGCAAAATTAGTAATTTTCAATGAATTATTCTCAGTCCTACTGTCATCTTCCGCGATTTAAAAATGGTAATACTTTGTTTTTGAGAGGTTTTGCTATAGGGCGTATACGCTTGCCAGAAAGACAGAGAGAGACAGAAAGTGAGAAATCACCCCTCGGGGGAGATGGCCAGGCCATAATCTCTTCTCCTCCATTCTCCCCTCAGGATCTTAGGCACGCATGCACACGCGCTCAGCATGCGTTTAAGACACTGGGTCCAGGACTCGAACCATGGTCGAATACATGGGAGTCCAGTGACATAGTCATTGTGCCAACTGCTGGGCCCAATATTGCTTTTTTAAAAATTAATTATTTACTTATTATTCTTCAATTTGACCAGAGAGAGAGAGAGAGAGAGAGA